AAGAAAAAATTTTTGGAGTGAGTTAAACAAGTTAAGAAAGCCTAGGGAAAGTATGGATTTGTCCGTTAAAAACAGTAGGGGAGTTAGTAGATGGGAGAGGGAGGTATTAGGTAGATGGCGAGAATATTTTGAGGAACTTTTAAATGTTGAGGAAGAAAGGGAGGTGGTAATTTCATGCACTGGCCAGGGAGGTATTCCATCTTTTAGGGGTGAAGAAGAGCAGAATGTAAGTGTGGTGGAGGTACGTGAGGCATTACGTAGAATGAAAGGGGGTTAAAGCAGCTGGAACTGATGGGATCATGACAGAATGTTAAAAGCAGGGGGGGATATAGTGTGTGAGTGGTTGGTACTTTTGTTTAATAAATGTATGAAAGAGGGGAAGGTACCTAGGGATTGGCAGAGAGCATGTATAGTCCCTTTATATAAAGGGGAAAGGGACAAAAGAGATTGTAAAAATTATAGAGGAATAAGTTTTCTGAGTATACCAGGAAAGTATATGGTAGAGTTATAATTGAAAGAATTAGAGGTAAGACAGAATGTAGAATTGCGGATGAGCAAGGAGGTTTCAGAGTGGGTAGGGATTGTGAGATCAAGTGTTTACATTGAAGCATATATGTGAACAGTATTTAGATAAAGGTAGGGAAGTTTTTATTGCATTTATGGATTAGAAAGGCATATGATAGAGTGGATAGAGGAGCAATGTGGCAGATGTTGCAAGTTTATGGAATAGGTGGTAAGTTACTAAATGCTGTAAAGAGCTTTTATGAGGATAGTGAGGCTCAGGTTAGGGTGTGTAGAAGTGAGGGAGAATACTTCCCGGTAAAAGTAGGTCTTAGACAGGGATGTGTAATGTCACCATGGTTGTTTAATATATTATAGATGGGGTTGTAAAAGAAGTAAATGCTAGGGTGTTCGGGAGAGGGGGTGGGATTAAATTATGGGGAATCAAATTCAAAATGGGAATTGACACAGTTACTTTTTGCTGATGATACTGTGCTTATGGGAGATTCTAAAGAAAAATTGCAAAGGTTAGTGGATGAGTTTGGAATGTGTGTAAAGGTAGAAAGTTGAAGTGAACATAGAAAAGAGTAAGGTGATGAGGGTATCAAATGATTTAGATAAAGAAAAAATTGGATATCAAATTGGGGAGGAGGAGTATGGAAGAAGTGAATGTTTTCAGATACTTGGGAGTTGCGTGTCAGCGGATGGATTTATGAAGGATGAGGTTAATCATAGAATTGATGAGGGAAAAAAAAGGTGAGTGGTGCATTGAGGTATATGTGGAGTCAAAAAACGTTATCTATGGAGGCAAGAAGGGAATGTTGAAAGTATAGTAGTACCAACACTCTTATATGGATGTGAAGCTTGGGTGGTAAATGCAGCAGCGAGGAGACGGTTGGAGGCAGTGGAGATGTCCTGTCTAAGGGCAATGTGTGGTGTAAATATTATGCAGAAAATTCGGAGTGTGGAAATTAGGAGAAGGTGTGGAGTTAATAAAAGCATTAGTCAGAGGGCAGAAGAGGGGTTGTTGAGGTGGTTTGGTCATTTAGAGAGAATGGATCAAAGTAGAATGACATGGAAAGCATATAAATCTATAGGGGAAGGAAAGAGGGGTAGGGGTCGTCCTCGAAAGGGTTGGAAAGAGGGGATAAAGGAGGTTTTGTGGGCGAGGGGCTTGGACTTCCAGCAAGCGTGCATGAGCGTGTTAGATAGGAGTGAATGGAGACGAATGATACTTGGGACCTGACGATCTGTTGGAGTGTGAGCAGGGTAATATTTAGTGAAAGGATTCAGGGAAACCGGTTATTTTCTTATAGTCGGACTTGAGTCCTGGAAATGGGAAGTACAGTGCCTGCACTCTGAAGGAGGGGTGTTAATGTTGCAGTTTAAAAACTGTACTGTAAAGCAACCTTCTGGCAAGACAGTGATGGGGTGAATGATGGTGAAAGTTTTTCTTTTTCGGGCCACCCTGCCTTGGTGGGAATCGGCCAGTGTGATAATAAAAAAAAAAAAATACACACACACTGACTCCCTCACTCTCAAGTGTTAGTGTGACTAGTAAGTGGTTCAAGTCGGACCAAAACATTGTCATAAGCTTATCTCTCCCCTATGTGTGGGTTATTTGTGTATAACTCAGGAGTGCCTCTAATGCTACCTCTGTGGCCCCCGAAGGAATCCCAAAATCTAACTCTTGACTTGCAGAGTAAGTGGAGTAAAGAACACCACAAGTTGGCTTCCTAATGTAATATCCTGCATGTTGTCATTTAGTGGTTCTCATCCTTATTATATGAGAATCCATGTAATTAAAAATAAATGCATGGTAAATATCTAATCATCAATGCAAAATCAATCCAAAGTCTTCATATTTAATCCCAGACCATTTATGTAATTAAGTTATCTGGGTAAGATGTACACATTGCTGTGTTAGAAGGTAAGTCACAAGTACTTGGGGAAGTCAGCTAGAAACATAACACACGACCACATACCTACTGTCTCTTACCTTGTACAAAGTTGCAATATTGGCTATTACATGATCAAATCGTTCAGTGCGAAGCCCTGCAATCACAGTCACATGCTCTATCTGAAAAGGAAAATATTACAATCAAAATTAAACATCCAAAAATTCCAGCTTATTAAAACTGGTGGTGTTGTCCGACCTAATCATGTTTGTGACAAATTTATTTTGAAAATTTTTGATAAGAAATTGAAGACACATTCCCAAAAAAGTTAACAGAATCTTGTTTTTGGAAACATCTTCCAAACACAAAAGCAACATCCAAAAAAAACACACTGGATTTGTGTTATCACAAATTTTAAAAAAACGAAATAGACAATTATGGAAAAGGCATTACTCCAAAAGGAAATTACTAGAGTGGCAGAGAGAAAATATGATAGTTTTTTCTTTTGTGGCAAACATACCCAGTAAATTCTAGTTCCCCCCTCTTTTAAACGAGGTGACAGATGGTAAAGACGGGGGGGGAAACACCCCTTATATAGGAAAAAGATTAACTTAAAAAGATGTTGGTTCCCAACTTAACGAGATTTTATTTTAATATCGTAATGTCTGAATATATGTATAATGTTTATTTTTAATATCAGGTACAGTGGTTCCTTATTAGTCTGTTTCAGAAGACACATTGTGCCTCAAAACTATTGTAACTCAAATCCCAAAATACAAGGTTTTATGGTAATTTGTCCCAAGACCTTGGAAGTGCAACTTTTACTGTACCTTGCACACTCACAGATATAACTTGCAAACACTAATAAGTGGTAGTAGGTTGGTAGACAGCAACCACCCAGGGAGGTACTACCGTCCTGCCAAGTGAGTGTAAAACGAAAGCCTGTAATTGTTTTACATGATGGTAGGATTGCTGGTGTCTTTTGTCTGTCTCATAAATATGCAAGATTACAGGCATGTCTTGCTACTTCTACTTACACTTAGGTCACACTACACATACATGTACACATTTATTTATACACACTCATCTGAGTTTTCTTTGATTTTATCTTAATAGTTCTTGGTCTTATTACTTTTCCTTTTATATCCATGGGGAAGTGGAATAAGAATCTTTCCTCCGTAAGCCATGCGTGTTGTAAAAGTCAACTAAAATGCCGGGAACAATGGGCTAGTAACCCCTTTTCCTGAAAAGATTACTAAAAGAATAAGAAAAAGAAAATTGTCAAAATGGGAAGTCTGAAGTGCGTGGACGTTGTGCAAATGATAAGAAAGTAGATGATTGTGGATGTTAGAATGAGAAGAAACGGGATGCCTGGCTTTAAGTAAAAACAAAGCTGAAGAGGGTGGGAGAGTTTCAATGGAGAGGAATAAATGGGATTGGGTTTCAGGGGTTTCAAATAGAGTTAGAGCTAAAGAAGGAGTAGCAATAATGTTGAAGGATAAGCTATGGCAGGAAAAAGGACTACAAATGTATAAATTCAAGGATTATGGGGAGTAAATAAGATTGATGGGGAAAAGTGTTATAGTAAGCATGTATGCACCTGGAGAAGAGAGAAGTTGTAGGGAGAGAGAGAGATTCTGGGAAATGTTAAAGTGAATGCGGGGGAGTTTTAAAATCAAGTGTGAGAGTAATGGTGGTTGGGATTTCAATGCTAAAGGGGGTAAAATGTTTATGGGGGGGAAGAAGTAGTAGGTAATTTGGGGTGCCAGGGGTAAATGTAAATGGGGAGCCTTTAATTGAGCTATGTGTAAAAAAGAAATTTGGTAATAAGTAATACATATTTTATGAAAAAGAGGATAAAATAAATATACAAGGTATGAAGTAGCACGTTAATGAAAGTAGTTTGTTAGATTATGTATTGGTGGATAAAAGGTTGATGGGTAGGCCCAGGATGTACATGTTTATAGAGGGGCAACTGATATATCAGATCATTATTAGTTTTAGCTACAGTTAGAGTAAGAGGTAGATGGGAAAAGAAGAAGGTGGCAACAACAAGTAAAAAGGGAGGTGAAAGTGTATAAACAAGGGGGGAGGAAGTTCGGGTGAGATAAGCGACAAATTGGCAGAAAGGTGGGCTAGTGCAAAGAAGAGTAGTGGGGGTTGAGAGGGTTGGAAAGTTTTAAAAATGCAGTATTAGAATGTGGGGCAGAAGTTGTTGGTTATAGGAGGGTGGGGGCAGGAGGAAAGAGGAGTGATTGGTGGAATGATGAAGTAAAGGGGTGATAAAAGAGAAAAAGGTAGCTTACAAGAGGTTTTTGCAAAGCAGAAGTGTTATAAGAAGAGCAGAGTATATGGAGAGTAAAAGAAAGGTGAAGAGAGTGGTGAGAGAGTGCAAAAGGAGAGCAGATGAAAGAGTGGAGAGGCACTGTCAAGAAATTTTAATGAAAAAAAAAAAAAAAATTTGGAGTTAAACAAGTTAAGAAAGCCTAGGGAAAGTATGGATTTGTCAGTTAAAAACAGAGTAGGGGGGTTAGTAGATGGGGGGAGGGAGATTAGGTAGATGGCGAGAATATTTTGAGGAACTTTTAAATGTTGAGGAAGAAAGGGAGGCGGTAATTTCATGCACTGGCCAGGGAGGTATAAACCATCTTTAGGAGTGAAGAAGAGCAGAATGTAAATGTGGGGAGGTACGTGAGGCATTACGTAGAATGAAAGGGGGTAAAGCAGTGGAACTGATGGGATCAGACAGAAATGTTTAAAAGCAGGGGGAAATAGTGTTGGAGTGGTTGGTACTTTTGTTTAAAAAAGTAAAGAAAGAGGGGAAGGTACCTAGGGATTGGCAGAGACATTATAGTCCCTTTATATAAAGGGAAAAAGGGGGCAAAAGAGATTGTAAAAATTATAGAGGAATAAGTTTAAATGAGTATACCAGGAAAAATATACGGTAGGGTTATAATTGAAAGAATTAGAGGTAAGACAGAATGTAGGATTGCAGAAGAGCAGGGAGGCTTCAGAGTGGGTAGGGATGTGTAGATCAAGTGTTTTAAAATTTAAGCATAATGTGAACAGTATTTAGATAAAGGTAAAGGGGAAATTTTTATTGCATTTATGGATTTAGAAAAGGAAAATGAAGAGTGGATAGAGGAGCAATGTGGCAGATGTTGCAACTAAAAAGGAATAGGTGGAAAATTTTCTAAATGCTGTAAAGAGCTTTTATGAGGATAGTGAGGCTCAGGTTAGGGTGTGTAGAAGAGAGGGAGAATACTTCCCGGTAAAAGTAGGTCTTAGACAGGGTGTAATGTCACCATGGTTGTTTAATATATTTATAGATGGGGTTGTAAAAGAAGTAAATGCTAAGGTGTTTTTTGGGAGAGGGTGGGATTAAATTATGGGAAATTTAAATTCAAAATGGGAATTGACACAGTTACTTTTTGCTGTGAATACTGTGCTTATGGGAGATTCTAAAGAAAAATTGCAAAGGTTAGTAGATAGTTTGAGAATGTGGTAAAAAGGGAGAAAGTGGAAAGTGAACATAGAAAAGAGTAAGGTGATGAGGGTTAATCAAAAGATTTAGATAAAGAAAAATTTGGGTATCAAATTGGGGAGGAGGAGTATGGGAAAAAGTGAATGTTTTCAGATACTGGGAGTTGACGTGTCGGCGGATGGAATTTATGAAGGATGAGGTTAATCATAGAATTGATGAGGGAAAAAAGGTGAGTGGGGCATGAGGTGTATGTGGAGTTTAAAAAACGTTATCTATGGAGGAAAGAAGGGAATGTATGAAGGTACAGTTTGTACCAAAAATCTTTATGGATGTGAAGCTTGGGTGGTAAATGCCCGCAGCGAGGAGACGGTTGGAGCAGTGGAGATGTCCTGTCTAAGGGCAATGTGGGGTAAATATTATGCAGAAAATTCGGAGTGTGGAAATTAAAGGGGAAGGTGTGGAGTTAAAAAAGCATTAGTCAGAAGGCAGAAGAGGGGTTGTTGATGTGGTTTGGTCATTAGAGAGAATGGATCAAAATAGAATGACATGGAAAGCATATAAATCTATAGAGGAAGGAAGGAGGGTAGGGTCGTCCTCGAAAGGGTTGGAAAGAGGGGTAAAGGAGGTTTAGTGGGGGAGGGGCTTGGACTTCCAGCAAGCGTGTATGAGCGTGTAGATAGGAGTGAATGGAGACGAATGATACTTGACCTGACGATCGTTGGAGTGAGCAGGGGGAATAATTTTGTGAAGGGGTTCAGGGAAACCGGTTATTTCATTTAGTCGACTTGAGTCTGGAATGGGAAGTACAATGCCTGCACTTTAAAGGAGGGGTTTGGGAATTTTTTGGGGAGTTTGGACGGGTATGTTGTGTATCTTTATACGTATATGCTTTCTAAGCTGTTGTATTCTGAGCACCTCTGCAAAAGCAGTGATAATGTGGAGTGTGGGAAAGTGTTAAAGATAGGAATATTTTTTTTTTGGGGATTTCTTTCTTTTTTGGGTCACCTGCCTCAAAGGGGGGACAGCCGTTTTGGAAAAAAAAAAAAAAAAAAAAAAAAATTTTATGATAATTTTCTCTGACCTTTTCACTAGCTTTAAACCCTTTTAGGGTCCGCCATAGATCACGGGTTTACATTCAGGGGGCCCAAAATGAGATCTACGCCATGAGCTCAGCCCACCCCCTTTTTAGCTGGACATAAATTTTGGCCTAAATAAGAGAATATATTATGTGGTAGTGGACCAATAAAAAAACCCGCAGTGCACAGTACATAATGAGAGAAAAAAAACTGAGACCGTAATTTCGATTTAAAAACAGCGACTTTGCGGTGTTTTTTTTATGTTTCTTATAGTTGTATTTGCAATTTTTTGGGATCATTATAGAATGGAAATATACTACAGAAATAGAGATGATTTTGATTGGTTTAGGAGGAAAATTCTGTTTCACTTCCTTTGGAGATAAAGAAATAAACAAGAACAAGAACTATTAAGAAAATAGAGGAAACCAAAGGGGTGTGGTTGGGGGTGTTGTGTGTGGTGTGTGTGTTGTGATTATATATATATATATATATATATATTATAATATAATATTTTAATATAAATTATATATATATAATATTATATATATATATATAATGTATATATATATATATATATATATATATATAATTTTTTTTTTTTTTTTTTTCAACAAGTCGGTTGTCTCCCACCGAGGCAGGGTGACCCAAAAAAAAAAGAAAACCCCCAAAAAGAAAATACTTTCATCATCAATTCAACACTTCACCACACTCCACATTATCACTGCTTTTGCAGAGGTGCCCAGAATACAACAGTTTAGAAGCATATACATATAAAGATACAAAACATATCCCTCCAAACTGCCAATACCAAACCCCTCCTTTAAAGTGCAGGCATTGTACTTCCCATTTCCAGGACTCAAGTCCGACTATATGAAAATAACCGGTTTCCCGAATCCCTTTACTAAATATTACCCTGCTCACACTCCAACAGATCGTCAGGTCCCAAGTATCATTCGTCCCATTCACTCCTAAACTAACACGCTCATACACGCTTGTGGAAGTCCAAGCCCCTCGCCCACAAAACCTCCTTTACCCCCCTCTTTCCAACCCTTTCAAGACGATCCCTATACCCTCCTTCCTTTCCTTTTGATTTATATGCGTTCCATGTCATTCTACTTTGATCCATACTCTCTAAATGACCCAAACTAACTCAACAACCCCTCTTCTTGCACTTGGACTAATGCTTTAAATTAACTCCACACCTTTTCTTCCCTTAAATTTTTTTTCCACACTCCGAATTTTCTGCATAATATTTACACCACACATTGCCCTTAGACTAGGAATCTCCACTGCCTCCAACCTCTCCTCGCTGCTGCATTTACCACCCAAGCTTCACATCATATAGCAGTGTTGGTATTATATACTTTCTTACATTCCCTTCTTTGCCTCCATAGATAACGTTCTTTGTCCTCACATTATTCCTCACGCACCCACTCACCTTTTTTCTCCATCAATTCTATGATTTAAACCTCATCTTCATAAATCCATCCGCTGATACGTCAACTCCCAAATATCTGAAAACATTACTTCTTCCCATTACTCTCCTCCCCAATTGATATCCAATTTTTCTTGTATCTAAATCATTTGATTTTTTTTTCCCCTATCACCTTACTCTTTTTATGTATCATTTTCAACTTTCTACCTTACAACATCTCCAAATTCGTCCACTAATCTCTGCAATTTTTCTTGAGAATCCTATTAGCACAGTATCATCAGCAAAAAAAGTAACTGTGTCATTTCCATTGGGTATTTCACTCCCCATAATTTAAATTTTCCCCCCCTCCCCCGAACCCCCTAGCATTTACTTTTTTACAACCCCTCTATAAAATTTAAAACCCATGTGAATTAACCCCCTGTCTGGCCCTACTTTTTCCGGGAAAGTAGTCCCCCTCTCTTCTACACACCCCTAATCTGAGCCTCACTTCCTCTAAAAACTCTTTCGTGTTTAGTAACTTCCCACCTATTCCATATACTTGAACATCTGCCCCTTTGCTTCCCTTCCTTATCATTGCCTTTCAAAATCCATAAATGCAATAAAAATTTCCCCCTACCTTTATCAAAATACTGTTAAAAAATGTTAAATGAAAAATACCTGTTACACACCCCCTCCCCACTCTAAAACCCCCTTTGTTTCCCCGCAATCCTACTTTCTGTTTACCTCTAGTTCTTTAATAATAACCCTTCCTAACTTTTCCTGGTTACCAGTAAACCAATTCCTTTTAAAATTTTTACAATCTTTTTGCCCCCCTTCCCTTTATATAAGGGAAAACTGCTCTCCCCAATCCTTAGGACCCCCCCCTCTTTAAAATTTTATTAAACAAAAATACCAACCACCCCAAACTTTCCCCCCTTTTTTAAAATTCTGTCATGATCCCGTCATTCGCTCTTTCCCCCTTTCTTTCACGTAATCCCCTCACGCACCCCCCCGCCTTACCCCCTCCCCTTTTTCAGGTAGTGATGAAATTACCACCCCCATTTTTTCGTCGACATTTAAAAGTTCCCCAAAGATTCTCGCCTTACCAATACCTCCATTCCCCCTTATAAATTCCTACTTTTTTTTTAATGCAAATAACTGCCCGATAACTTGGGATATTTTTTACATTCATGTTATTTTTTTAACTTCAGTCAAAAGAAAAAGGACAACCCCGAATTTTTTTTTCTTATCTGTTCACTAAACTAAGAAGGTAAAACAGGGAAAAAACAAAAAATCCTCCAAAGGGTTTTTCTCCGCAAACTTTTCTCTTCAGTAAAATTTCCCCAAAACTCGAATGGGGCCCTTTTTAAAATTGTTTCCCCTGATGGGTGTTGGAAAAACATTAAAACCCAAAAGTACTGTAAAAATTTTTAAAAGTTCAGTTTTGGCCGAGTCAAAAACCGTAATAATCTTGGGAAAAACCCTGTTTTGCATGAGACTCAAATGATGTATTCTGGCACCCCATAAGCTTTGGTAGGCATTAATGGCCCCCCTCAACACACACGCCAAGGCTGAAACAAAAAAAAGCAATACCATTTAACGCATTAGAGTACAGAGTAAGGTATCTTGGTCAAACCAGGAAGTACAGCATTCTTGACAGTACAAGGTTCTTAGGAAATCTAAAAAAAAAAAAAAAAAAAGCTCTATCATTTCCCCTCCCTACTCTCTTCTCTCCTTCACTTGATGTTAGGCACTGCACTACACAACTAAATTTTTAAGAGTTCAAATTTTCACTCGTATTGTACGTACGTATTCAATGACAATCAAAATGAATCTGCCTGCAGAACCTGATTTTGCTCATAAATTTGAGAGAAAAAACCACAACCATAACTGTTCTTGGATATCATCCTATATATTTTGTTGCCTTGGTGCAGAACTTCATTATTTCTGAATTCTCCTTATGAATGCCAACTGACAAACCGATAATTACTTTTAATGCATTTTTATAATACTGAAACTATTTTTTTTAACACACAGGCCATCTCCCACCAAGGTATGACCCAAAAAAGAAACAGTTCATGGACCGGGCCGTGGGGGCGTTGATCCCCGGAATAACCTCCAGGTAACCTCCAGGTAAACACTCACTCTATCACTGTCTTTCCAGAGGCATGCTGATACTACAGTTCAGATGCCCCTCCAAACTGCAAATATCCCTACCCCTCCTTCAGAGTGCAGGCACTGTAATTTGCGCCTCCAGTACTCAAGTCCAGCTAACTGGTTTTCCTAGCTCCCTTCATAAATGTCACCTTGATCACACTCCAACAGCACAAGTCATAAAAACCATTTGCCTCCACTAACACTTTCACACATGCCTGCTGGGTGTAACTGTATCATTTGAGTATTAAAGTAAAGGACTTCATTCCTGGAAATGGGAAGTACAGTGCCGGCACTCTGAAGAAGGGGAGTTAATGTTGCAGTTTTATAACTGTAGTGTATGCATGCCTCTGGCAAGACAGTGATGAAGTGAATGATGATGAGAGCTTTTCTTTTTCAGGCCAAACCTGCACATGAAAATCACTCCATATGAAAGCAAAAGACTCGGCAGGAGATGCAACATTTCCCCGATGAAAAGCAGGGGTGCCACGAGTACAATGAGAGACAACACAATAAGTGTCCGGAGCCCAAGACTGTTCAGTTGCCTCCCAGCATACATAAGGGGGATTACCAATAGACACCTGGCTGTCTTCAAGAAGGCACTGGACAGGCACCTAAAGTCAGTACCTGACCAACCGGGCTGTGGTTCGTATGTCAGCTTGCGTGCAGCCAGCAGTAACAGCCTGGTTGATCCGACCCTGATCCGCCATGAGGCCTGGTCTCAGACTGAGCCACGGAGGAAATGACCCCTGAAACCCTCTCTAGGTAAACTCCAGGTAAACCCTGCCTTGGTGGGAAATGACTGATGCGTTAATAATAATAATAATAATAATAATAATAATAATAATAATAATAATAATACTGATTACTGTATAGGATTTTTTCTTTTCCATAAGGTGTGAGATTCAAATAAAGTTTTTTCTTAAGAGTTATTTACATTATCAATAGCCACTTCTTATAACACAGTCGAGCCTAAAATAATGTACGTACATTAAGTCGATTCATTCTTCTCAATGAGTGGTTTTCATTTTGATAACAGTGCTATACACATTTTTGATAACAATCCATCTGTCAAAGTGAAGACACTTTACTTCCTCAACACAACAAATATTGCATTGATCACAATCTAACAGCACATCAAATCCCAAAAACTTTTTCATCAACTTGCTTTGGTTTAACATGCTCAAGTTCTTATTTCACAAATTCCCCTTTTCACCCACCTTCCAACTCGTGCAATACTTGGATATCTTTATTGTGGAAACCTATCACCAACCAGTGACTTTATCAATCCAATACAGAGAAAAACAATTGAAGATATGCCTCGCTCATCTACGTGTGTCAGTTTTCTAAACCATTCACATAAAGCTTCCATGAGATGCCCCCTACACCTTCTCTCCAGCCCAGATCTATACACTATCTTGGTCAATCTATCTTGTTCCATCCTTTAGAAATGACCAAATCATCTCAACAACCTCTCTTATGCTTTAAATTCATACCACCACACCCACTTTTAATTTTGTCCCCTCTTTATTTTCTGCATAATATTCATGTCAAAAATTAATCTTACTCACGACATCTCCACTGCTTCCAGCCTAATTTTTGATGCATTATTCAAAGACTATGTCTCAGACCCATGCAAAATACAATGTCTTACATTCATACAAAAGACAATGCCTCACACTAAACAAAAGATAATGCTACACAACCATATTAAGACAATATCTCACACCACAGCATACACAACACAATGCCTTACACTTACACAAAAGTGTTGGCACCATTATACTTTTCTTAAACATTACCCATTTTGCATCCATTAACGAACTCAACCAGCTGCTCAACTACTACTTACTCTTAGTGTCACTGAAAAACTATATTTCATAGATGACGGTTTCATCACAGATCTATGATACTGCAGGGAAGACATCTCGGGTACTTGAAGTTGAAGATGCAGGATTTTCAGATGTAGGCCTACAGCTATGACACATTCAACTTGGCTGTCTTCTTCAACATTTCATACAAGTGAAGTTGTTTCAGTTGCTTCAATCTTTCCCCAGTGTAATTTTCCATACATCAAATAAAAATTAATTAGCTCTTGTTCCATCACAAAGGAACATTCTATCTGTGATTAATTCACATGACAGCTCAATTAACTGGCATAGCCAGGATTAAATGTTAGCAATATACACTAAGAATAACACAAAATCAATGGATCACCATCAACAACTGCGGTGTAACCAATATAAATGTGTGTGAACTACACACAATGCCATCTGAGGCTGCCCTAGTAATTTTGTCTGGACTAAGTGAAGTGCTGGACCATCTGCTGCTGGAAAATCAGTGTTATATCTGTATTTATGTCAAGAGGAGTGCTGAACCCATAGGAGTCATGCAGAGCCTTGGGGAATAAGAGTCAATCAGATTCAATCCAAATTCTTTGGATCAAGCCATTCACCAGCATCAAGTACCTCCCTTGAAGGAGCTTTTTCTATACTGTGACTTTATGGGGTGTGCCAATTCTCTGGAGCCTACCTTGTGCTCTAAGTGTGATTTTGCTCTAAACCTTCATGATTGGAAATTGGCAGGAAAGTTTTTTCAGTATTTAATTTGATGTAGGTTTATGAACACCTCCAATGCTCTATTTTAAATTTTTAAATTTCGTCTTGTAACAAAAGGAGTACACACTCCATGACATCACACTGGCAGATGTGTAGTCATAACATGAAAAAATAAAAAATAGTAAAATTGTAGAGGCTTTAGTATCCACAGCTAAACCTCTAGACATATAAATAATCCACTGATTTTCTGTCCAACAATTTAGTATATTTTTCCAACAAAATCTCTTCAAGAACTTATAAAGAAAGCACAATACAAAAACATACCACTTTATATTAAACAAAAATAAACTTACCATGCTGCCAAAGAAAGCTGACATAATGCACGTTTGTCTTGTTCACTGCTTCGTTCAGCAGAACAATTCCATATTGTAATCCTGGAGAAGGGTGGTAATACTCTTTGGGCTTCCAACATAATTTTCCATCACCATTTTCCATTATTATATCTGCTGAATTGGAACATTATGAAAATTACAATACTGAACATCATGAAATGTGCTGTATTTGCTGAAAATAAAACTTTTAATAAACTTTTATAGTAGTCAAGTTGGAAAAGCTGCACAATCAAAACTATTTCTAGAAACCAATTTATACTAAAGAATGAGCGATAGTGAATCTGTTGTTTCTTTGGGTGACCCAGCCTTATTCAGAAACAGCTGGTGTTCAAAAAAATAATTATGCTGTTTTTTATAAAGTTAGGCAGATGCAAAAGTTGCAAAAGTTTATTCACTCTAATTTTAAAAATTTTGCCATAAACACTTTCCTTTGTGAGAATAGAGACCTTAAAGATAAAACACAGAAAATTAAACTCAAAGCTGAGTAGCAAAGAGCAAGTCATTATCCATCATTATTCACACCAGAAATTTCCAAAAAAAGTAAAATACATTACATTACCACAGTAAAATACAGACCATGTGATTGCTTATTACTTTGAAAGTTTCCACCATGAGCACGTTATTCTCAGAAAATATTCCTCCCAATACTGTACATAGCAGTTATATACTGTACTTAAAACATTTGTGTTCTCTTAGCTCTTGAGAAAAGGCCCCGTCAGGAACTGGGCTTTAATAAGGGTGGTAATTTCCAGAACCTAAAAGCACAATAGATTAAATGTAATGTGTATTTTCTTGACATATTAACAACACTGTTATAGTCCTGAGAGTATCAATTTCCAAGTTCATGACCACAGTCAGATATACAGCCTCTCCTCACTTAGTGACGTACTCGTTTACCAACGACTCAGAACAGAACGGAACTCTGTCGTTAAGTGAGGAGAGGCTGCATATTGTTATTAAAAAAAAATGCTAATACTGTACTGTACTTTCATTTTATAGCAAAATACATATAGATATGAATTTCAGGTAACTCTCCACAGCACTTTTGTTAATATTTTGCTTTCAACAATACTGACTATATAACAGTCACCCTATGGGGGAAGTGTCCCCTAACCTTGGATGTTCCGAGGCACAAGCTGACTGTGCATGTTGGGTAATCTGGGTAATCTTTCAATGTTGCTGAGAGGAAGAGGAGGCTGAAGGTAGTGAAGGGGTTACCTCCCTCATTACCCAGTCCAATACAGACCATCTGATTGATGGCCTGATCAATCTTTTTGTTGATGCTAGCTGTATGCAGTACAAGGTAGGTAGGACAGCTCGGCTGATCAGATTCAATTTCTTGCTGAAGTAGTTAGTTTATTGTGTGCCCCATATCTATTCTGTGGGTGGTAGAGCATGAACAAATGGATTCACAAAAGGCCTGGGAAGTAGATGCCAAAAGGGTTAACTGGCATGTATCTGGGTTTATATCTACAACTAACTTGTCTGTTGCAAGCATATTTAGGATACTTGCTTAATATTTCTGGTATCTTATTTTCATAATAAGATATATCTTGACACATCATGAACTGCACAAAATGTTATTTCTACTAAACCAAAAAACTAGTCAATGCACTATTACACTCAGTGTATTAAAATAATTGTTGCCAAAATAAATAAGTAAATAAAAAAAATGTATGTATGTTTAAATGAGATCCCAAAAAATGGGAAAAAAAAATTGTGTTTTTTGGTAAAACTATTAAAATTACCCCTTGTCCCTTTTTAAGGGAAAATTAAAACTTTTTTCAACTTCTGGGAACACTAAATTGCTCCCTTTCCCCCTTGAAGGGGGTTTCAAAAATTAATTCTTTTTTTAAAAAGGAAAATTTTAAATTTAAATTTTTAAATTTTATATTTTAAATTTTTTAAATTTTAAATTTTTATATAATTAAAATTTATTTTATTAAATTATATTATATAATATATATTTTTTTATATATATATATATTATTTTAAATATATAATATAATATATAATTTATAAAATTAAATATTTTTAATATATATTTTTTTATAAAAATATATATATATATATACATATTTTAATAATATTAATTATTTTTAAATATATATATATATATAAATATATATATATTATATACTATATATAATATATATATATTAATTTATATAATTATATTACATATTATAATATATAAAAATTTTAATTTTATATAATAATATATATATAATATATAATAATATTTAAATATAAAAATATTTATATAATTTTTTAATAATATATATAATATATAATTTTATATATATAAAATATATATATTTTTAAAAATATTTTATAAAATTTTATTTTATAAATAAATATTATATATATATAAATATTTTTTATATATTTATTATAAATATAAAAATATATATATAAATATATATATTATATATATAAATTTTAAATTATATATAATATATATATATAAAATTATAATAAAATAAATACATATTATACTTTAAAAATATAAAATTTTATAAAATTTATAAAAATATATAAAATATAAATAAATATATATATATATATAAATAAAAATTATTTTATAACATAACACACCCCAACACCCAATGTATATATATACGGGGAACCCTAAAAATTGAACTTTCTTGGTCCAGAAGTCTGTACGGTGTTTTTTCCGAATGAATTTATTCCCTTTAGGAATAAGGGAAATTGATTTAGTCCTTTTAGCCCCTTAAAAAAAATACACTTATAAAACCCCTTACAAAAATACACTTACTTTTGGGTTTTGTTTTGGGAGCAGTTCGTTTTTTGGGGTTTCCCAAAGTATAATTTATATATTTATATTTTTTATATATAATATATATATATATAATATATATTAAAATAAAAATATAATGTAATATTATATATATATATATATAATATATTTATATAATTATAATATATTAATAATTTTAAAAATTATATATATAATATATATATTATATATATATATATATATTATATATATATATATATAATATATATATTAAAATTTAATAGTGGGTTTTGGTAGACGAAAAACCACCGGGGAGGTATGCCTTTCCTGCCAAGTGAGCGTAAAACGAAACCCCTGTGATTGTTTTACAGATGGGGGATTGCGAGTTTTTTCTGTTCATAAATTGCAAGTTACAGCTGTCTTTCTACTTTACTACACTTAGGTCCATCAATAATGTACACATTTATTTTTCACACTATCGATTTTCTTTTTTTTATCTTAATAGTTTTTGGTCTTATTACTTTTCCTTTTTATCCATGGGGGAAATGGAATAAGAATCTTTCCTCCGTAAGCCATGCGTGTTGTAAAAGTCAACTAAATGCCGGAAAAATGGGCTAGTAACCCCCTTTTTCCCGTAAAGATTCAAAAAGAATTGAAGAAGAAATTGTCAAAGTGGGAAGTCGAATGTGGGGGATTTGTGCAGATGTAAAAAAGAGATGATTTTGGATGTTTGAAGAGAAGAAACGGATGTCCTGGCTTTAAGTGAAACAAACTGAAGGGGGTGGGGGAGTTTCAGTGGGAGAAAAAATGGGATTAGGTCAGGGGTTTCAAATAGAGTTGAGCTAAGAAGGAGTAGCAATAAGTAAGGATAAACTATGGCAGGAAAAGAGGGACTTAAATGAAAAATTCAAGATATTGGGGTAAAAAAAAGATTTGGGTGTGAAAAGTGGGTTTTTAAAAAGGAGTATGCCCTGGAGAAGAGAGAATGTAGAGGAGAGAGAGAGAGTTTGGGAAATGTTGATGAATGTGGGGGGTTTTGAATCAAATGGAGAGTAATGGTGGTTGGGGATTTTAAAGCTAAATTGGGAAAATGTTATGGGGGGAGTAGTAGGTAAATTTGGGGCAGGGGGAAATGTAAATGGGGGGGCTTTAAATTTAGCTAGTGTAGAAAGAAATTTGGTAATAAAATAAACATATTTTATGAAAAAGAGGGTAAATAAATATACAAGGTATGTGTAGACGTATAAAAGTAGTTTATTAGTTTTGTATTGGTGGATAAAAAGGTTATGGGTGGCTCCAGGATGTCCTGTTTATAGGGGGCAATGATATATCGGATCATTATTTAGTTGTAGTACAGTTAGGAAAGGTGAGGGAAAAGAGGGAAGGGGGAAAAAAGTAAGAGGGAGGTGAAAATGTAAAATAAGGGAGGGGAAGTTCGGGGGAGATATAGCGCTTTGGCAGAAAGGTGGGCTAGTGAAAGATGAGAGTGGGGGGGGTTGAAGAGGGGGAATAGTTTTAAAATGCATTATAGAAAGTGGGAAGAAGTTTGGGTTTTGGAGGGGGGGGAGGGGAAAAGGAGGATTGGGGGGAATGATGAAGTAAAGGGTTGATAAAAGAGAAAAAGGACTTATGAAGGTTTTTTTCAAAGCAAAGTGTTATAAGAAAAGGGAGAGTATTGGAAGAAAAAAAAGGTAAAGAGAGTGGGGAGAGATGCAAAGGAGCAGGATGAGTGGGGGGAGGCACTGTCAAAAAATTTTAATGAAAAAAGAAAAAATTTTGGAGTAAACAAGTTAAAAAAGCCTAGGGAAAAGTAGGATTTTTCAGAAAAAACAGAGTAGGGGAGTTAGTAGATGGGAGATGGAGGTATTGTTAATGGCGGAATATTTTTAGGAACTTTTTAAAAAGTTAAAGGGAAAAAAAGAGGCAGTAATTTCATGCACTGGTCAGGGGGGTATACCATCTTTTTGGGTGAAGAAAAGCAGAGTATGGGGGGAGGGAGTAGATTACGTAAAATGAAAGGGGGTAAAGCAGTGGAATGAGGGTATGCAGAAAGTTAAAAGCAGGGGGGGGTTGTGTTGGAGTGGGTTGGGGGATTTTGTTTTAAAAATGTATGAAAAGGGGGGGAAGGTACTAGGGATTGGGGGAGAGCATGTATGTCCCCTTTATATAAAGGGAAAGGGGACAAAAGAGACTGTAAAAATTATAGAGGAAAAGGTTTACTGAGTTACAGGAAAAGGTACGGAGAGTTATAATTTAAAGAATTGAGGTAAAACGAATGAGGATTGCGGATGAGCCCCGGAGGTTTTAGAGTGGGTAGGGGGGTGGTAACAAGTGTTTACTTGAAAATATATGG